CATACGTTAGGATAGAAAAATTTAGAAAAAAAAAAAACCAACCAAAATATGCTTAGCCTATCGGTTGATCAAAACTGCGTATAAATCGCGGGTAGTGACCAACAATTGCAAAAGTGTCATATTGTGGTACCGTGATAGGATGCTGCGTATCACGGTACAATTAAACCTATATCGATAACCTAAATTGTATTACGGTGTACGGGGAATTCCGCTGCGTCCGACGGATTTTTCAAGAGCTGTTAATGTTCTACTTGTTCAAAAAAACAAGAATGACTATTTTTCAAACCGAAGTTTCCTATGAGAGTTTCCCATATATTTCCAGAAAAATTAAATTCTTATAATCAGCACCTGATCTGCGAGGGAAATACACGGAAGAAAAACTAAAATATAATTTTACTAAAACAATTATTTACTGCACAAAGAAAAGCGAATTAAAAAAAAAAAAAAAAAACTAAAATCAAAACAAATTGAATATTAACAGATCAAGAGAAATCCATCGAACGCTGTAGAACACCCTGTAACCACGCAACACAACAAAATTAACCTAAATTATCTGGATTTTCAATTCATGATATATTATATGCATGATTTTATTGACAAATACCAACCTAATAGTTATTCATAGATATTTCACGACTGGGTGAAATTAGATTTACCTATAGTAACTGTTGTTACTATCCCACAGAACGAGACGACGGAGCGAACCGTGACGTATTCCGTGGGACTTGATAGGTGGTGAAGAAAATTATATACAAAGAATTAACCTATAAATAATTATGTTTTCATAACGAATAGCCATGTTTAAGATGTCACATCGCGATCGAAATTCATAATTATTTAATCGATGAAGGGTAAGGACAGTAATGCCAATACATTTAAATAGAAATAATTTAGAAAAAAAAAAAAAAAAAAACCAAACCAAATCAAAACTTAACCTATACTTAGCCTAACCTTAAAGCCCCCTTAAGACATGCTAACGTGAGTTAGCAGTCGTTTAAGTGGGTTTCTAATATTAACATCGTATGTGACAATTTTAACATGAAACATGTTTTTTTTTTTTTTTAATTTTTCAATTTTAGTTTTTTTTTATATAATCTTTTATATAAAAATAAAATGTATGCCATAAAAATTGGTACTGTTATTAAACACATCAAACTTAAACACTAAAAAAAAAAACGAAAAAAAAACTATTTGAAAACGAGATATTTTTCATTCTCGTCATCACTAATTTAAAATTTAATTATAATGGTTCATACGTTTTCCTCGTCCCACTGAACGAGACGACGGAAAGAACCGTGACGCGTCTCTGTGTGACAATTATTGAAGAAAATTATATACAAAGACTTAACCTATAAATAATTATGTTATGATGTCACATCGTGATCAAAAATCATANCATCCACGAAACGATAGGAAGACGGAGCGAACCAGTTTGCGATTTCGTGGATATCTAATATTTATCCATGGATGTCCTTTTACGTGTTCAACCGTAATTTTCTTATTTTTAATACTTAACCGCTAGGAATTAATAATTACAAAATCCATGAGAGTTTTGCATGTGATTTACGGGTAAAACCGTAAGTTTCTTATTTTCTATTACATACCCGATAAGAAATAATATTTACGAGTGCAAGATCCGTAATTTTTCTTGTCATCAATGGCCAAAAAAAAAAAAAAAAATATCCAATATATTAAAATTATTACGAAGACCTCGAACTATTTCTGACGATTCGTTATTTGTTAACTTATAACCGAAAATAACTTATGCTGATCAATGGTGCTTTTACTTCGCAGGTAAATGATCGACAACTGAATAATATTAATTTATTTGTGATAATTCTGCGAAAAGAAGCGTTCAATCACAGTAAATGTAAAAAAAAAAAAAAATAGAAAGAAAAAAAACGTAGACCCTAGCATTAGCAAAAACGTACACCGACGAAACCTATACCATACTACATATTATTGCACATTCCATTCATCACGAAAGAAATGTGCAATAAAAAAGTAACTGATGTCACTGGGATTTTAAACCCCGAGTTTCCGACACTACCATTGCACCTGAGCTCATAAGCAACTGTCGACAGAGATCAACCATTTATTGTGAGAGTGTCTCTTAAGAAAACCTACAATGGAAATGAAAATTCAGAACCGTTTAAAATAATAAATAAAAAAAAACGTAGAAAAAAGTGTCCGCTTAACCTTAACCTAAATATTATATCTCTAACAACTCACAAACTGTAGACAAGTGAAATAATAATGAAAAAAAAAAAAAAACTTAGGACTACAGTATTATCAAACTAATTATGCGAAAAAATAAAAAAATTAATAACTAACTGTTAACGATTCAACCGCTAGCCGGTGACGAGGTGCGGGGCGTTGTTGCTGTTGGTTTTAATTGGCCGTGATGTCGGCCACGGATTTCAATCGCTGTTCTTCGGCCTGTTTGCGCATGGCCCTGGCACGTACGCCTAGTGTGTTCTTCGCGACCATCGCTCGTAGCTGAAAATATCAAAAACGGGCGGAAAGGTTATTATTGAACATTAATGATCGTTTAAGAGCCAGTCGTAACCAAACCTCACCGTTGACGAGTGGGAGAACAACCCGGTGATGATTGTGACAGGACGAGCCACGAGATTTGGCCGATCTTCCTCGTTTTAATGGCCATTAAACCGGATATGGTCTACTGCACAGTGAAATTGGTGCCCCGTTTGCCACCGCCGCTGTACTGAGTGTTCAAATTGCGGCAAAATTTCGAAAAATTTCTACACGGAACACAAACGCAAAAACAAAACCGTTCAATCGCTATTATAAACGCGATCATAAACAAATAAAAAAAAAACCTAAAAATAATACAATTTGTACGCACCTTGGTGGCTCCGTACGTATTGTCAACAAACGTACGACCGTTGCCGGTGCCAGTGTCTTCGGCGGTTATTAGTAAATACTTCGCGGATTCATGAGTAATCAGCACGCTGGTCCGATGGTAGGTGCAAAGCACATTTTTTTCTTTGTTCAATAACATTTTCCTTTTTTAAATGTTTGTTTAACAAATTTTTCTTCTTTTTCTATTGGTTGGTCTAATCAACGTATTTTTTTTT